TCCATCTGGATCCACCTGAGTCTCACGGAAGCAAAGGTCGCATTTGGTCTGCGATTGACACCATATCCGTTACTTGGGGTAACGGTACTTTAGCTCACGATTAACTGGCCTGGGATCCCTCTGTGACGTAGATCCAAGAGATAATTCCGAATTTTAGATTTAAGAGGACTGTTTTTCTTTAACATGAAATTTCTTGGTTCAGGCTTTTTGATACCTTTCCTTTAATTTTTATCTGTGTGAGAGGCTGGCCACGAAGGTCCCTCATTTTAGGGATCTGGAGCCGGTTAGTTGTGAGGCTATGTAGCGCGTCCCGAGGTGGCAGAAAGGGGTTAATCGCGGCTCAAAAGCGTCCATATGATTCCCTGAGACGCAAGTGGATCCAGGGGATGGACTCCCTCTTTCTTCTGAGCCGACTTGGCACGTACTTTCTGCATTTGAGAGGTGTATTCGCGCATGCGCGTGTGGATGCGTTCTAGTTTACGCGGATTGTATTCTATGAGTCAATTCAGCCAAAAGCCAGTAATCAAGTGACAGGGAAGTATATGGGAGGCGGTTAGGAGTCGCCTCAAACAAATAAACTCCGTGTCTGCTCTGAGAAAGACTGTCAAGCTACCGATACGTATACCCAGCCCCCATGTTCCCTGTGAGAGCACAGCAAGCTATACATGGGTATCAAATTGTTAAACGCAGTAAAAGAAACGGACCTCATTCTTCTGACCCCGAAGGAGCCCCCAATTTCGCAGCGGTGGGTAGGACGAGTACGGAGAGCCTGCTAAAATCTCAGGGCCAATGGAAGCTGCCTGGATTTCAAAGAACTATGGTGACGATCTGTACCTACAATGCACGTACACTTGCATCATAGAATGTCAGGAGAGCAGTGATTATCATGCTGTGCACCGTCGTCCGCGGAAGAGTCTTAAGAATTTTTAATTACGTAGAATGTTTTGCGTGTTTATTTATTCCATTTATTTCCAACAACACGCAGCTTGGCCTTACACATTGCGATAACCCATCGTCCCTTAGCAAATCCCAGCACTTATCTGATTTAGTGAGGAGTGTGTAGCGCAGTGGTTAGAGACGCGTTGCAATACATGTGGGTTCGGTCCCGCAACCCAAGCTTAACAAGTTTTACGTCTCCCCAGAGTCCACAAATTACTGCCAGACTTGTCTGAGAAGACAACAGCGTTAGCTTGATACATCTGTAAGCCGTCGCGATTCATTGCATAGGCCAAACATGCATTAAATCACCACTAACGATGCTTGATAAAGTCGACTGCGGGGCACATCCCTCAAGGATTGATGGATACTGAGAGCTTTATCCTTTATTTTTCCATTGATTTAGTTCTGATAACAAACGCCTGTTATCGTCAGAAACCTGGCCGCTACGTAAATAGGTTAAAAGATCACTATGTCTTATAAAATGCGCAATCGAAAGGAGCATGCGTGGATAGCCTTCGATAGCCATGTCCACCAGCATGCGCCAGTGGGAGAGGAGACCCGAAGCTCCGACGTACGTCAACGACCAAAAATCAAAAACGCTATTCTACAAGCAAAACTGTCTAAGATAGGGTGTCGGACACATTAAGCTTCTGAACGAGAACCGATGCTCACGATCCCTTAGCGACTGGATTCCTATGAACGTTAAACGCACAGCAAGAAGACCACGGACCCGATAGTTAGATTTCCTTGCGAAAAATATTAGAAAGAAGATATGATGATTGCGAAAATATTAGAAGGAAGGTATGGTGGTCAATGAGCCCGTACAGAGGTGAATAGAATCCAGTGGGTTACTCTTGCCCGCGACGGGAAAAGATGGAAAATTTACTAGCGCCCACTTGAGTCACCCGACGAAAAAAGGGATAACACGTAACACCTAGTTGCCACGGATCTCTCTCATATGAGGGTCTCGAGCCGGTTAGTCGCGAGGCTACGTGGCGCGTCCCCAGGTGGCGGATAGGGGGTTAATCGCGGACCAAAAGCGACCTTTGCTTCCCTGAGAAGCAGGTGGAGCCAGTGGATGGACTCCTTGTTCCTGCTGCGCTGATTTGGCACATACTTTCTGTATTTGCTAGGCGTATTCATGCATGCGTGTGTATGTGTGTGCGTTGTTGCTTATGCGGTTTGTATTCTACGAGTTAATTCGGCCAAAAGCCTGCAATCAAATGGCTGGGAAGCATATAGGAGGCTTGGAGATGTCCAATCTGGGAGAGTTTGGCAAGGTACCCGTGAGCATACCCAGCCCCCACGTTCAGAGCACAGCAAGCTATACATGGGTATCAAATTGTTAAACGCAGTAAAAGAAACGGACCTCATTCTTCTGACCCCGAAGGAGCCCCCAATTTCGCAGCGGTGGGTAGGACGAGTACGGAGAGCCTGCTAAAATCTCAGGGCTAATGGAAGCTGCCTGGATTTCAAAGAACTATGGTGACGATCTGTACCTACAATGCACGTACACTTGCATCAGAGTCCTCGGTAGAAGACGTGCTCATGCAAGCAAGAAGGATAAAGTACGACGTCACCGGTATGTCTGAGACGAGACGATGCCACCCATTCAACACCGTCTATTACACTGGAGAAAAACTGTTTCTCGGAACATGTGAGACAATAGAGGTGTCAGCGGCGTCGGCATTCTGGTCAGCACGAATTTGTCCATGAACACCGATTCATTCCAACAACTAGCAGTCCGAGTCGGACGTTTACGATTAAGAAGATATGGAGCAATGCCGGCATTAACAATCTTCATCGTTTAGGCGCCGTCATCAAACTATGATGAAGAAGAAATCGAAGCGTTCTATATAGACTTAAAGAAGTTCTACAGAGAAGACCACACATTCTTCAAGGTCCTTATTGGAGATTTCAACGCCAAGATTGGCCCAAAAGGAAAGTCTGAAGAACGTCACATTGGGACCCACGGATTAGAATGGAACGAACAAGGCGGGCGGCTACTTGAGTTTATCATGGCGACCAAGACAACCCATGGTAACTCGCAACTCCAGAAGCCCCACCCTCAGCGCTGGACGTGGGAGTCTCCCAATGGAGAGTACCATAACGAGATGGACCACATCATAGTAAATAGGTTTTGCGTAGCCGATGTCGCTGTTGTTCCAAAACTCTACATGGGATTGAATCACCTCCTCCTTACAAGATTTCATTTATCACAGAAAGGAAAGGAAGCCGCTAAGTGGGACTTATTCAATTCATTAGTCGGCAGTTGGGAAGATGCCGTTGTCGATAACATCGACGAGGAATACAATCGGCTCATTCAATATCTTCACGTTAGATTTATGAAGGCTGAGAGTTCAAAAGCCACCAAGGGACGTCTCTCTCCAAAAACACTCGAGCTGCAGGCAACCGCGAATTAACATCCGAACTTGCAAAACAATGCAGAGAGGCAATAAAAGAAGATCTTAGAGAGGGAAGAGTAGCAGTAATGGCCGAACTTGCAGAGGCTGGGAAAAGCATTCGCAAAACCCACCGAAGTTTCGCCAATTACAAGACCAAAATGATTGCTCTCCGGCGCCCAGACTGAATAGTTACAGCGTCCAGGAAGGCAATGGAGAAAATCATTCACGAACACTACTCGGATCTCTTCGATAGCCACGTCCATCTTCCGTTATATTAAATAAAGGAGTATGGATATGTTAGTTCTCCCTTCCGAAATCCGACATGCCATTTCGTCGGTGAAAAATCGAACAGCACCAGGTCCGGACAGGATAACACCAGAACACCTGAAGAACATACCGCCAGTCCTCGTAAACACACTAGCTCGGCTTTTCACACGTTAGCTCTCTGAGTGCTAGGACTCTACTCAGCGTAAGACCAGTAAGACCGTGTCATTGTTCAAGAAGGGTGACCTACACGATATCGGCAACTATCGCCCAATCTGCTTGCTGTCTGTCGTCTACAAACTTTTCATTCGAGTCGTCCTAAACAGGATTGACAGAACAGAGGACGAAGGACAGCCATGTGAGCAAGCAGAGTTTCTAAGAGGGTTTGCTACGATGGACCACATCCACACGGTAACACGGCGCAATGAAGTATCGCGATACTACAAAAGACCGCTCTGTCTCACTTTCATCGATTTACAGAAGGACTTTGATTAAGTTGAGATAGAAGCCATCTTGGAAGCCCTTGATAGTCAAGGAGTCCCTACTCAGTACGTAAAGATTCTTCGTGAGTTGTACAAAAATTTTACAGTTAAGATATCACCATTCTACAACGATATTAGCATTGACGTTAAATGAGGACTTAGTCAAGGCGATACCATCTCGCCAAAAATATTTACTGCCGTACTCCAGAACGTTATGCGAACATTGGAATGGGATAATATAGGAGTGAAAATCGACAGTCGGAAGTTACACCATTTTCGTCCTTATAACACCAAACATTAGCGAAGCGGAACGTATGCTTGACGAATTCGATAAAGCCTGTGGCAAAATTGGACTTCGTTTAAATCTCACAAAACCGATGTTCATGCTGAACAGATTGGTTTCGCATGCCCCATTCACGCTCAACGGAACGAATATTTCCGAATGCTCCAGTTATATCTATCTCGGTCGGAAAATCAATATGATGAACGACCTAGCTCCAGAGCTGAGCAGAAGAAAACGAGCGGCTTGTGGAGCTTTCAAGAGCACTGGGGAAGTAGTGAGGAGAACAAAGAACACCTAACTCCGTACTCACTTTTTCGACTCAACGGTCCTTCCTGCCCTAACGTATGCGTCAGAAACCTGGTCGCTGCGTAAGCAGGATGAAAATCTATGAGCGTTATCGAACGTGCGGTTGAAAGGACGATGCTAGGAGTATCCCATTGCACACAAGTAGGGGATGGGATCCGAAGCTCCGGCCTGCGACAACGATCAAAACTCAAAGATGCCTTTCTGTACGTCAAACATTCGAAGATTGGGTTGACCGGGCACGTCATGCGTGTGAACGACAACCGATGGACAAGAGCCGGTAGTGACTGTATCCCTCGGGATGTTAAACGCACTGCAGGAAGACCACCAACCCGATGGTCAGAGTTCTTCACGAAAAGCCTAGAAGGAAGATATGATGCTCGACGAGTCTCTGGAGCGAGCAGAAGCCATTGGGCTACACTTGCACGCTAAAGGGAAAATGGAAGATTTACTGGCGCCCGCTCGAGTCACTCGACGATCAACGGGACTACAGGTGATACAGGCGACCTACTTGCTTGGATGACCCATCTTCACAGGCTATATGGGCACCAGCATAATTTCCATTTTTTTCGGAGTTTTGCTGGTTTAGCCATTGTGATTCCCTGGAGTCCCGAGGTCGGCCTAGTCAAACTCTGCCCCAGGTCGTCACCGTAGCATGCAGCCGCCGCTCTTGTGGATCTGATGGAGGTTTGCCACCATGTAATTAGTTAGATTCCAGGACGGTGGTGGATCCTCGTATTGGTTTACTTCTAACTGGGATTCCTAATGGAAACGCCAGACTCCTTCTCAGCTTGGGAGACCCTGCGGGAGTGATGAATCCCCGCTGTACATCGCAGCCTGACGTACAGGAACACCTCCCAACCACGATGGGGCGGTAAATCATTGGAAGGACAGGTGACAGAGGTAAACAGATTTTTTACTTTTTTTTAATGCATATGCTTTATTCAACAACGAGTTAAATAAGAAAAAAATTCTGCGAAATGTAGAGTATTATTACATGTTCCAACGGGGAACAACTGTTCACCTTGAAAACCTCATAAACTATCTCTCTATAACAATAATAATACCGAATGGGCAAAATATGGGCAAAACTGGGAACCTCAGTTTGGTTTCGAACCCGCTGTTACTTTTTCCGGCGGATTACGTACTAATCACTAATCAGGGCACTTGCTTTACCTTATATCTCTTCATATGTTTAATTATGTAGCATACTAAAGCTCTAAACCAATTAAACTGAAGCCTTTTCATGACATTTCATGAGCTAGTTGTGTTCTAAATGCATCTAGTCGACAGTTGGAAGCATATTTATTCATTAGAGGAATCTTCTGGTAAAAAACAAAGGTGTCTTTAATATGCCGATATAATCCACTGCATGTGTAAACATAGAACACGAGTCTGTATCTTCTGAGATGTACGTGTAAGCATTACCTCACTATTCCATATAGCATTGAGCACTGATACAGCGTTCGCATGGTGGTGAACAAATACCGGGAGAACAATATCAATAAACTTTTGCCGCAAATCTGTCATTGGTGGCTGAAAAAAGGAATTGCAGTAGCACATATGAATATTGTAACCACTTATGATGCCTAATTCTTGAGACCTCTGAAGACCGAGGCTACCGACATATTCAGACTTTTGAATAACATTCAGAGAACAGAAAGTATAGCGGTAGTAATGCCGATCATCACAAGTACGGTACTGATTCGATCGCACTCCTGGCTTACCTCCCATCTCTCTGTGGTCGGGAAGTTGCCACTGGATTGGTATGGGGAAAAGTTAACTCTGTGCAAGCCAATTGAAAACCTCTAGTGCTGCAATCTCACAGGGCTCCAGAGAGAATCGACTCCACCACCATTCAACGACATACACGACGAAAGAAAAATCCACAAGCAGCGGCCGAACTCATATCCGAATATTGGGAGGCCTTCGGTGAATGTAAATAATTCAAACATAACGTAAAGCAAAAGTTTATACTAAAATCTTATAAGGTATTTCTCCTCCCAATTTAATGTCGTATATATATACAAATGTATATACATATATATGCATATATATGCATACAAGCATGTGTGTATATGTACGTGAATATGTGTATATATATGAATATAGACACGTGTATATATGTACATATATACATATATGTGTACATATATATACATATATACATATATATATATATATATATATATACATACATATCACCTGTAGTCCCGTTGATCGTCGAGTGACTCGAGCGGGCGCCAGTAAATCTTCCATTTTTCCCTGTCGCGTGCAAGAATAGCCCAGCGGGTTCTGCTCGCTCTAGGAACTCGTCGAGCATCATATCATTCTTCATGGCTCTTTGTGAAGAACTCTGACCATCGGGTCGGTGGTCTTCCTGCAGTACGTTTGACATCGCGAGGAATTCTGTCACTAACGGCTCCTATCAATCGGTTGTCATTCATACGCATTACGTGTCCGGCCCATCTTATCTTCGACTGTTTGACGTACAGATATATATATATATATGTACATATATACGCATATATATGTATATATATGTGCGCGTTTGGCGCAGTAGTCGGAGGCGCCTTGCACCACACACGTGGAATCGATCTAAGCGCTCATGGTCCACCAAGTCTTTCATCCCTCCTCGGTCGGCAAATTGGTACCAGACTCGTCTGGGTGGATAGCAGCACTGGCTCGATACATCAGCAAGCCACCGCGAGTCATTGTAAAGGCCAGATGTGCATTCAGTCACCTCCAAACGATACTTAATGAAGTCAAATACATGGCGTATCCTTCAGGGATTGATCAACGCCAAGCGCTTTATCCTTTTTTCGATTTATATACATATGTGTACATATATGTATACATATACATATATATATATATGTATACAGACATATATATATATATGTATATATATATGTGAATGTCTTGAGGAAAATAATGTCAGATTTCAACCTGTACTTGTTCAGGCATAACTCAGAACACACTTTATTCATTGAAGTTAGAACTACTAAAATTTTCGGAATTTACCAACAAAAACAAGTTTACCCATACCAACTGCGTACATTTCTGATCTTCGGGGGCGATGAAGTCGTTCAAAGCACTCCGCTTGGTTCCTAAGTATCTCTCGCATACGAAGTTATAGAGATGCTTCAAAAAGTGAAAGACGATATGAGAGGTCTGCCGAGTGTGGTGGATGAGGAGATTGGTAGGCTAGCTCGTTAAAATTTTGCAGTATCGGTTCTACGACGCCACGCGGCGTGTAACTATGAAGAACCATTGTTCCCTTTCTACTGATGAATACGTGAGACAGCCACTGAAGTTTATGGCACACTTCATCAACTTGCTGTACAAACTTTGCCAATAATCGCTTCACCTGGATTCATGAAACTTATGTATCAAACCACCACCAACCACGAAACGATCTGCATAACTTTATTTTGGCGAGAATTTGGTGGTGGAAAGTTCTGTGGATGTTCATAGTGATCCACCCATTGAGTTCGTTGGCGCCAGTTATGACACAGGTATAATTCTTGACTCTCGTGACAAAACGGTCAAGAAACGGATCGTTTTGATCGCGCAGAAGAAGCCCCAACAATGGCTCAAAACTGGAGACTTCTTTGATGGTCATCGAATTCTCACGGCACCCATTTCTCGAACTCCTTCAACTTCACAATTTTATTTCGATTCACCGGAACATTTGGAATGTCTACAGCGAATCCTTCGACAAATTCTTGAGTTGTGCGTATACTTGCTTGCATGGAAAGCATCAATTTTTCGACGTCTGCATGACATCCGCGATTTCCCCTATCTTGAAGGTTGAATTCATCACAATAAAATATTGTACACCAACGCTGCACTTAACATTTCCCTAGATCCATAACTCATAAACACTTCGAGCCACCTGCACTCACTACGTCCGAGTTAAATTCGAGATATGTTGAGATTTCCGATTTTACATCTGAGACTCTAGCACTAAAATTTGTCGACAACACAATTTCCAATTACACGGAACGAAAATAGATTAAATTAGATTATCTCAGTATGATTGAAGTTATATTTCACAATGTATACCCTGCCGTTAAAAAGAGTAGGCAGTAAATAATAAGTTAAAACTATGAAAATAGATTAGTTTTGCACTGATATATACATGTATGCATATACATGTATATATGTATATATGTATACATGTAATATGTACACGTACGTATACATTGTACATATATGTGTTTTGGGGGAGAATAGGACAACTGTAGTGAAGTCGATCATCACGAGCATGAGACCGGTTCGAGTTCACTTCGGGCTTACCTCTCATCTCCTCAGGGTCGGGAAATTGGTACCGAACTTGTGCAGAGAAAAAAAGCACTCTGTATAATCCAGGTAGGAATGCTCTAGCCCGGTTATCTCAGGACTTCGTGAAGAATCGACTCGACCGGTATTCTACGATATTCATGAAGAAACGGAAGTCCTCGAGCAGCAGTCGAAGCCATACGTAGAAGTTAGAAGACCATCGTGGACAATGGATGCGAGAAAATGAATCAAATTAAGTGCTAAGATCCGCACAGTGGATGTGAAAGACGGGTACTATAAAATAATATATATGTATAAATACATACATATATAACCTTTACAACAGTTCGGGGGAGGGTAGTCAAGCAGTCCATCGGGAAGCAAGATGCTAGTTGGACCTCCTCCGCAACGCTCTTCCGAAATCGACGCGGAAACGCCTATGCTTGGCCATCGCTAAGGTTTGAATGCAAGACGTGCAGGGATTTGCACAGTAGATGTGATGATGGGTCATAAAGTAATACAAATAATAAAACATAATAATACAAAATTTGAAAGAAAACTTACTGAAACACACACGAAAAGTGAAAATACAAATGCGAAATTAGTTTCTTGAAGGATTTACATATATTCATATATATATAAGTGTAAATATATATATTTTATCTATATATATAATGTAAGTTTTTCAAAAACACGAGCTTACCAGTTTCACCTTACTGGGATAGAAAAATTACAATTGTTCGCAAAAATATGTTGATTCTAATGCTTCCTACGCCAAGCAGTAAGAATCATTATGAGAAGAGGCACAATTGTTTAAAATTTATGGATGTAAATATTTTGAACCACCGTACGACATATGCCAACAATTTTGGCGTGAATATTAAGAGACATTTCAGGTTTCGATCAATTTAGAAAAATACTCACCGGAACTTGAAACAGTGCTAGTAAAACCACATCCGGCCATTTTTCAAGAGCACCATGTAGCAAACGAATGGCAGCAGTTTGCACATTCTGTTCACCGGCCATCGTCAACAGTAACTCTGTTAACTCGACACAACACCTAGAAGGCATACATACTCCACATCTTGTTTCCAGTTTACACATAGAGGTATGACCTCAATGATCCCAGCATGGATAAATTTTTCGCAACTGTTTAAATGATTACATTATCTCTAAAACGAAGATTTGTGTTCCCATCCTAAAATCGTGATGTTGAAGCAGAACGATGTTTTGTACAGCACATCTGGATCTAATCCTAGTTTACAGAATCTACAGAAATGTGCGCAAGTCGGCGACGTTTCGCGTCTTACGCCATTCCAAATTCACGGGCAAAAATCCCGAAAGAATTTTTGTCAGCGAAAAAGGTATTTTGCTTCCTGTGATTTTATTGTCATACAAAGGAAGCAGAGGATACACGTCTCATCTCGCCATAAATCACAAAATGTGTATATACCGCTAAAAAACAATAAAACCTAAAACAATCATGCTTACCATGGCGCCAGCAACCTGTCGTTTTCATCAGGCATGTTCTTCAGCAAGCTAGTTGGGACGCTGCGATGTGGGTAATCAGCAATGCAAAACACATCAGGGTTTTCTACCATGCATGATACCAAGGACAACTGCGCTTCCCTGAAACCACGCTGCATATTACCAAAAGTGATAAGGTTGACATAAATTACTCCTATGAAGGACCTGTATCGCCACTTTGCATACAACCTCGCGATAGGGAATGGTCTTTCTCGTAATCCAGTCCTTAGTGCATCGGTTAATGTTACTAGGGATTGACGCCGAGTTACAAGCATTTGTACATCATCGAGACAGTCAAAAACCTCATACCAGTCCAAATTTGGATTCTGTAACAATGTAGGAAGCACATTCCAAATAGTACAGTAAACAGATGAAACAGCTCATAACGAGAACAATTAGGTTTGGACATGGGCTTAGTTGCTCTTCACGGTAAATAAAAAGCTTTGTCTGCTCGATATTTTGAAACAATTCTGTCTTAACTCTTGGAAATTTTTTGAATTCGCAATGAAGCTGGTTTTTGATGATACCGGTAGTCGAAACGTAAAATAAAAGCTTGGCAAGCAAAATGACAGAAATAAAACTTTTACAACACCGACATTTCGGCCTAACAATCCAAGAACGTGACAGAAAATGACAGCTTTGAATAACCATTTATACATCTAGAGTGGTAGTTAAATCCCCTTTCCTATAAACTAGTCAAGTTCTCAGACTCCCAAGCACTACTTTTGTCGTCTCAACTTGACTTGGTTCGATGCCGATTTGTGTTCCCAAAACTATTCCTTTTGACGAGTAATCAATGATGACAACTTTCGTGTGAAAAACTGGCACGAAAGAAATGCAGGGAAAAAACCTCAGTGGTGCTGTGGGTAACATGTAAGCCACCCGAAAGGGTAACTGCGGATTCCAATCTGGTTTGGGGTCTAGCTTTTGCAAATATCTCAGCATCATTGTTGTTATGCTTAACATAATATGCTACCAAGAAAGAATGATACGGAGTAAATTAAGAGTTTAACAGTTGACTGCTGCTTCATTTTAATCGCACTTTCTCATTTTAATGTTCCATTTAATGAAAGTGCTTCCAAGAATTCATGAGTTATTCGCAATAGAATCAAAAAACCTGTTTTTCCAACTGTTTAGTACAATCTAAGACGCATTCGTCTAGGATCGAGAGTTATTTTTGGGTACTCACGCACTGGTATCTATGATCCGTCGCTAATTTGTTAAAGCACTACGAATCACAGTTAATTTACTGCACGAACCCCACCCTTTCACTGACGACAGCAGCGAACACCTTGCCATTCCACGGAGGATCTTCCGTGACATCAAGTTCAGAAACACCAGGGCCAGCTCTGAAAGTGACGACGAGTACTTGGAAAATTTTCTCTTACAATAAATTGATTACAAAGTTTGAAATTTAAAAGTACGAAAAAATTTAGCTTTAGACACCAACAGAAAAACTCCTAACCGCATTTCTTCTCTAGGAATTTCCAATCGAATTTAACAATTAACAGACCGTTCAAAGCTTGCATGTCTCTTCGCCTGCACTGATGCTTTGTTTGGGCCACCATCAAGAAATGAAATTAATGCCAGCGCAACCATAGGCGGAGTAAAACAGGTGGCTGGAAATAATAAGAAACCATAAATCTCAGTGCTACAAATTAAACGTTGGCAATAGTATTATGAGTGATTCTTGAATCGCCATCAATCGACTAGGCTTCATTCCTCAATAAAAGTAAATATTCTTTAACAGTCGAAGAAGGAAGGAAGTATATGACTTCAGCATTACGATTTGTGAAGGAAAAATTCACGTTTCTCAACAAAAATTCATCCAAAAAAAAAAGATGGAGATACTATCTAGTACTCGCTATCAAAAAATATCAACCTTCCGTCATTGTCATGTCGTTCAAGCGCGATCGGAATGCCTCCTCAGTGCTGGTACATGAGCTTCCAGCAGCCTGAACAACCCCTACAAGCAACATGTTCGATGACTCAAACAGAGCTCTCTTGGCCGCCTAAAATAATACTATCTCATCACATCACCATTACTATAACAAAAATCTTCCGTCAAATAGCGCACTGAATTGTAAGTCCCAGTTGCACAAAGCTGCTCCACTTGTGTTACGAGTGCCTCTTTATCGACTTCTGACGACAGCTTAGCTGCCTTTGCAAGAACTTGGCCAAGAAACGAGTTGAATATGTGCTTCTGGTCTTCGGCGATGTGCTAAAGATATAACAACCAAACTATTTATACCTTTAACCTCTTCTGCACGATTTCTAGGTGATTGTCAGATAATACCTGGTTTCGTAATATGAAAGTTCCGGGTAGTTTTTTCCTCAATGTCATTTCTGTCATTTTTTTGTTTACAAACATCAGGTACATATTTTTAAAATTTTACTGGTTTACTTTTGCTTCAATTTATGCCCAAGTAAGAAAGCCGAAAAGAACGAGAAAAAACTAGCAGTCTCTTTTTCAACCAATTGAAACCTTAATGTAAAGCTGTAGACTGCCCACAAGATTATATTGCACTTGACCAGGTGCCGTCAACACATCCATAATATTGCTCATTAACTTCAACATTGAAAAAAATCGAAAATTTCGGAGGTACTAGTATTGTTAAGCCATCAGGATCTCCCAAAGGTCTACCGCCTCATCGTGACTGGCAGGTGTTTCTGGTTGTCGGGCTATGATGGACAACAAGGGTCTATCACCCAGTATGCTCTCCAAAGCGGAAACTGAGGCCTACATCCCCATCCGAATGCCCAGCTAAGACTAAACCAATACCGGGAATCACTACCGTCTCGGTATAAAATTAGTCACACATTGACAAATCTCCTCTTGGTTCACAAGGATCGGGAATGTTTGTGGTGGACACCTTGAGGAAGGTTTCGGCCGTGCTGACTCTGGACCTCTGGGAAGCACAATGGCTTAACCAAAAATAATCAAGTCTCAGTACCTTGCGAACTGTGTTCTCCCATCTACGACGTGGTGTGGTGAGACGCATGGTGAAGCTGTTCAACTCTCCAGGAGCATCTCCCTTCCATAGGAAATCACCTTTTTGTATAGCGAAAATTGCCGATGGACATGGAAGTCACCTAACGGTACGACTCATGCGGAGGTTGACCATATTCTTACGAAGAGTAGACGGCAATTCTTTGATACTTCAGCAGTGCCTGGATTTTGTAATAGATTCGATCAACGGAATTCTCTGTGCGAAGACTCGACTTAGTCATAAACTGTAGAAGAACTATCATCGATAAAAGGAAGAAGACAAGTCGTGTATGAAGAGAATATTCTTGAAATCCTCATCTCATACGACTCTGGAATCGATTATGGAAAAATTCTGCACCAATCATTACTATTCCACAATCCCCGTCTAGGACCACGAAATCCCCGCTGGATCCTGCCTTCTGAAGCACGAACAGTGCTTAAACTTAGAAAAAACGACGCAGACCCAGGAACCGGTAATATCAACGCCGACTTCCTTTGAGTTGAAAACTAGGAATTAAATGTACTCCTCGACTCATATGACCTGCTATCTTCAGGAGGAACAAACCTCAAACCAGAGGAGCGCAGGGCGCACCATCTACCTACGTAAGAACGGTGACCGAAGGGTTCTTCGTAACAATCGTTCCATATGCTAGTTGAGTGCACTGTGCAAGATATTCATGAAAATTAACGTGTTGCTCAAATCAAAGACTTTGGATGAGGGACAACTAGTTAAGCAGGCACAATTCCGAGCATGACTGCTGTATGGATAGCATCCAAGAACTCTGCGGAACACCCACAGAGCAGTTAAGCAATGTCTTCTAAAATTTAACTAGTAGTCACACCTAGCCGGAGTGCGAAGCTGTGATCTTCGAAAACTATCCCATCTTCGGAATATGGGAGAATACGCCGATCGCAAACCACAGATTTTGCTCACATAAGAAGAATAGATGGATGGATAAAAAGAACAGTCGAGTGCAGTCCAAGAGCATGAAAGAGTCCTCCTAGAAGACAAAAAATATGAGTGGAAGTGTACGTGGCAAGAGTCAAGTATCTGAATTCGCAGATGTAAACGATTTTAGGACTACGGAACAGGCCTAGCGGACGTCACCATATTCGAAGCAGACCACCGCCACTGATGATGACTGCGTGAGAAAGAAACGAATAAAAAAAATGTGTTGATGCTCCTATTATTGGTGAAAACGGGTCATCGAGATATCCAAGTAGGTTAGCCATAGGCAACAAAACCGTTTTTCACGAACATCGACCGTTAATTTTAATTCGTAACCGATTGTTTGTGCCATAAAAATCGGTTGGCATTTGATCTGCAGTCTTATTCATGTTGCTTTTAATGAAACAAACAAGCGTGCTCGATTCACGAATGCTTCGACAAGGGTTTGTATCTCAACAGAATGAAAGGCGTCTTTTTTCGAGTGTTTCTTTCAGCATCTTCCCGATCATACAAGCATGACTCATCATAAAACAGTATGATAAAACAATACGATGTTCTGTGCTCTCGGATGTTCCACCCTTTTCAAATGTTATGTCTATTTGTTTGAGAATTTTTCGTTACTGTTCCACTCGATCGAACTTTCCGTGCATGGGAAACGTTATGTAGACGGAAAAGAAGATGTAGATCCATTACTGTTAAATATTCACAGAACAAATTACATAGAGTGCAGATGGATCACCACTATGATGACACGATCCGATTTAAGACACTATGGAAGAAAACAAGGACGGATGCGTCATCTACTGATGAACTATATTATATTGTCCACACCTGTAGAGTAAATGAGGTCTCCTGCAATGCATAATTCGTAAAGTAGATTCATACAGATGAGAAAGTAATTGCCAGTGTTAATTTGGCTAAACATGACATTCAAAAACTCACATTTCGCAAAAACGTCACTACAAGGGTACTGATATCGTAATCAACTTCTAAATACGCTGTAATGCAACGAATAACGAATTCTGAACGAATCACCGTCTTCTCTTTAGCTGAAAAAGATTACCGCATCACATTATAGTTAAACAGAAGAATTTAGAAGGAAAAACAAAGCAACCGAGGGACCGAAATTTCCACTTCTAGTTCATTCTTCTTAAATCCAGAAGGGCAATACAAGCCAAATTACGCAAACTAAAACTTGATCTTCTACTAATAAATGAGTGAACACTATTTAGGATTACAAGTGCCGAAATTGATGCTTTTTAATATGAAATATACTTACAAGATACGATTATAACAAAAAAGTTATGAAGAAGTTGTCCAATAAATGGTTTTATAAGATTGGCGGCCTTGCCAGGAGACACCGAAACCCAGAAAAGACACAGCTGAATGTCAGATGCTGATGGAAGAACCTGAAAACATGAAAGAAGAACATTTCAAATAATAAAGTTTTTGATTACATGTCAATAATTTCAATACAAAGACTTAACTGCTCAGCAGTTTTTGGTCTTCTTTATACTACAAAGAAGTATATTACAACTAAATGTGTATGCATGTAGTACTTGCATTTTCTTAAACTTTTTTTCATAAAACGACGAAACAAAATGCAAGATTTACGAAATCCATTGAACAGGTACGATAATATAGAAGCAACCACCACGAAAAAATACGAAATTTACGAATTGAGATGAAGAGTACAACCGCGAACTTCGTGTTGTTAAGCGTGAAAACAAGCAGAACTGACAGAAGATCTAATAACTTGCCGCAGTGAATTCGACGGTCAGAATAAAACTTTAAGCCGCACACTCACGGAAAAATACTCAACGAACTGTGGTACCTTAGATGATACCGACTGAACCAACACTGGAAGTTGGTTATCGTTGACGGCCTCAGCGTCTTGAAGCTCGGCACTGACGCGATCAGTAAGAGCGTTGAAAATATGCCGAGCACCAGCTAGTTCGAGAATGCTCCGACTCGGTTGCTCTTCCGTAGCAAATTTAACAATCTTAAAATAGCTGGAAAAGTATTCGAAATTAAAAAATTCTTTCACTACTATATCTGAACATACCTAAGAATTATGATTTGTTACAACCACTATAAATAGTTTATTTCCCGAGGGGTGTGCTCTTAGGTACTCCATTGCGATAAACAGTAGGGACTCCCAAGCTGAGGAGACCGTTTCCATAGGGAAGTGAAACTAAGAGTAAATCAATACTACGAATCACCCGTCTTGGTATCAAACTAGTCATATGACGGCAACTCTCCCTGTAATTCACAAGGGTCAGCGACTGCTTTTAATAGTGACAACCAAAGGAAGGCTTCAGCCAAGCTGACCTCTGAACTCCAGGGAACCGCACTACCCCGAACAACAATAATCCAAACTCAGCACCGCCCACACTGTGCTTTACCACCTAGAACCTCGGGCAGTGAGACAATCGGTGAACGTGATCAAATCTCGGGTTGCGCAAGACGCCACTGGAAACGAACCAAACCAGCACGCCTTCGACATCCCATAGAGATTGATTTCTGCTTTGCAGCTGCAACACCAGAACAGTCTCTTCAGAGGTCGGGCTTTAAGTCCTTCGTGAGGGTGCACGTCGCATCAAATTCCATGTGATCGTCCTACAAGAGAAGAAAAGCAGAATGACCGACATACGCCAATTACATATCAGAATACTTGTCATTCGTTGAGGGAAACTTGCTTTTGGAAATGTCGGAGGCGTTGGCTTTCACCCATCACCAATCAGTTTCCTACCTAGTGCCTCACAAAAATCGTGTCAACGTGCCTGGCCATTTTTTATTTCCAAGTTTCCCATCAAATGAAAGTTTCAACAACCGCTCCTCACTAACTTGCACAGCTGATGAAAGCGAACTGAACTCGTTCTTTAGCTAGTTGGAAGTAATCCGCAACCAAAACGCCTTCTATAAATTGGTCGTTGAAGGCTTCAACGTCAGATTAGGAGCGATGAACGAAAATGAATACAGGATAGGACAATTCGGAATAGAAAACCGATCTAATAATGGAATTGTATCAATAACGGAAAAATTCTATACGAATCTTTTCCGTTCCACAATCTGTGTCTAGAACCTTGCAATATCCGCTGGATATCTACCTCCCAAAGTTCAAGCTGCGATAGAACGCACGAAAAGAGGGACAGTTCCAGGACCCGGTAACATCACTGTCGACTTCGTTTCAGGTGAATGCTAGAAATTAAATGTAGCACTCGCAACCCATGTGATTTGCTATTTTCAGAAGGAAAAACCTCAGACTATTGGAGGATAGCCCACAGTCACTTTGCATACGAAGGGTGACCGATGGGTTCTCCGTAACTATATTCTCACATGGTACTTTGAGTGTACTCTACAAGCCTTGGATGAGGAAAAACTAATTGAGCAGGGAGAATTTCGACAGATTTCGTTGAATTGGTTTGTCGGCAATAGCAACCGCCATTAGTTCTGGCTTTTGTCAACTACCAAGAAACGTTTGACAGCATAGAGTCTTATCAGCGTTCGTCGACGAAGGAATAGACCAGTACTACGTACTAACTCTATCTAACTGTTATCGGAACTACAGCACTAAAGTAGGCTTTTACATCCAGTAAAGTGCAGTCCAACATCTAGTACTCCATTCACCAGTAGAGCTGAGACGATGCTCAATGGATTGAACGAAGCATGAAAAAAAAGGGTTGGATTGCTCATAGATAGGACGAAGAACCACTTCATGAAGAACCAACGGTGCGAAGGTGAGTAAATCGAACTCGATCAGAACAAGGACAGAGTAGAATAGTTCGCATTTAAGCCTTTCAAAGAAGCTATGGACTAACTTACGGACCCAAAATTTCACACTTAGCTTTTCGATCGAAGTCTTCCCAGCGCTCTGTTACACGGAAGAGATGTGGGCTGACACTTCAACTACGTCAAAAACTCTGCGCATCACTCAAACTCGGAGTTATCTGTTATGTTATACTTACGAGCTCGCTACAGGAATAAAAGGTCGGAGATTCAGGTTGGTAGGAGGAAATAGTTCGTAGTGATGCGGGCTTAATTGCTCATTACTATAACGATTTTCTTTTTTACAAATCGCAGAAGAAAATTACAGTTTATCCAACATTCTGGACGATAGAATAAAATATTCTTAGGATGACAAAATAATACCAGTCTGCTCTTAAAGGACAACTCCATGAATTTAATTTTATGGCAAGTGAGTTAACCGAAAGATCTCCTAAAGGCAGTTCTCTAGATGGTCAAACACAATGCTCTTGTGTATGCAGGTCATAACGTGCACGCTGCTTCGACAATACCCCGAAATCTGACGACTCGAAAAGCAGTAATCTACATATCTATCTCGGAGGAGTGCGATAAGTATTCTGCATGTATACCCAGTTATTAAACCAAACCGTTGTGAGCCACCCGAAGGTACTACTTAAGAGGAAAAAACACTAATAAACGGCTTCGCATGGATTCCATCGAATGAGACCTACTGAGCAATTTTGATGCGCGAGGGACTGGAGACTGTAGTGGTAGCCGTCGAAGGCACTCCATGAATAAAAGGATTGAGGGTGATAACAGGTTCTAATTCTAGAAGCAAAAACCAACAAGGAATATCAGCTGTGCCGCAGTTGACTCGTCGAGAGATCGCCGTGGACCAGCCGGTAATAGTTGACCAAATCCGACGGCGGAAAGAAGTACTCGCGCACAGTGCACTGCAGGCGAACCACAGTCCGCCCCACAAGCAACAAGTAGTCTCTGAACATTCAATTTGAAAACAAAATATGACTGAGTAAAAATAAGAACGTTTCGAATAAGATACGTCAAATGTAAAGTGTAATGGTTAAATATCAATAGCAACGTGGAAGTAAAACCAAGCACTCAACTTTACGATGTTCTCCTACTAGATCGTAATTCACGTTTTTTACGCTTAATTGTTTCCTATGTTTCCTTTTGTTTGAACTTTGAAAGTTGTCGTACTATTGTCGGTTTTTCTGTACATAAAGTGACACAAAAATGATTCATATGAGAATATTGTTTGTAACTTTCCGAGATAATCCTCTCTTATACTTGCACGAAAGGTGAAGATTGATTCAAGTAAGAACAGTCACTCCTGTTTCTAAGAATTTTGCTTGCTGTACATCAAATCATTTTAGCACTACATTAGACTTCCTAATACTGATCCGCATTAATGTCAGCATTGCTGGGAGAGCACTACTAAAGAAACGTTCAAAATAATATGTCTAACAATAAATTTATTCAGTCCTACAAAAGGACGAGTGGACGCAATATATTCACGACGGAAAACAATTGCTACAATTTTCTGTGCGAAATTGCATAGCAGTTATCCACACTTATTTGAATATAATTTCCTTGAGCACACTCCTACCACTATTTGGAAGTCGTCATTTAGAATCTCACCTGGAAAACAAACTGGATAGATTTCTGAGGGAATTGTGTGAAATCGGTGAGTAGTGAGTCAACGTAGCTAAGCGAGTACCGCGCAGGAGATGATAGGCCGATCGACATACGAATACGTCACAGTACTGATTGTGAACAACCTCATCCACTTTTGAGATTCCCTGAAAAGAAATTCCTTGAAGATAAATGTTCGAAAGCAACCGCTTTATAAAAAGCACTTTCCAAAAACTCTCCCATTTGAACACAATGGACGAATCTTTTCAGAAAAACAATTCGCCATTTTTGCTTTGCACTGCTTATCGTGTTATCAGCAAGCGTTCAGAGCTAATAACAGAAAAACTTGAAAAATACTGGGAATGAAAAACGAACGAAAAATATCCAAACCACTCAAAATGCCGAGTTTCTATGAACTTCAGCATAATTGGTTGATATATTTATTTATGTGACCTCATAAACTGATCTTTTTGAACTGATGCAAAGTTGGTGCAGGTTTTCGTTGCCGTTATCGTTGTTGATGGTGTTCCTGGTCCATAGGTGACGTTTCGGCGATTTCGCCTTCCTCAGAGCTTGGACGTATTTTATATTAGAATACTTTAACTACTCGGAGGAAAAAAGGCTGAAGTATGGCTGAAGGCCAAACTTTTAAATAGACGCCATATCGAACTGGAATGCCACTCACCATGAAGCTACGAGTTGGACTAGCCCACGCGTTGCTCACATGGAGTCGCGAGCAAGACACACCTCGGGGTCAAAATACCATTTTTTTTGAGATAGGGTATCAGGTCACGTGTGATAGTGAGGTACTCGTCTTTCCAATTCATCTTTGGATTTTTGAAATTTATCCAAAACGCATCGAGAGTTTTGCGTGTTCTCTCTTGACGCGTTTTGGATTAATTTCAAAAATCCAAAGGTGAACCGGAAAGACGAGTGCCTCACTATCGCACATGACCTGGCGTACTATTTCACAATGATATTTTGACCGCAGGGTGTGTCTTGCTCGCGACTCCACGTGAGCAACGCGTGGGCTAGTCCAACTCGTAACATCATGGTGAGTGGCATTCCAGTTCAATATAACGTAGAACCACATTTGACCGTAGCATCCTAAGCCACGATCTATTTAAAAGTTTGATCTTCATTAATACTTTAGCCTTTTTTTCCACCTAATAATTAAAGTATTCCAATATAAAATATGTTCAAGCTCTGAGGGAGGCGAAATCGCCGAAGCGTCAGCCATCGATCTCAGCCACACTGACACATCCCTTATCACTAACAGATAATCTTATTGCTTCCGAGTTTATTAATTCCCTAATTTCTCGCATGCCACTTTTTTGTGCGGCTGTAAGGTTAGAGATAAACTTTCAAGTCTTGAGAACGCCGTCCGAAAGCATGCGGAATTTTATGTCAACTCCATCTTCAGGGTCCTGCTGTCTAAAAAAACGTTTTTGGGAAAGGAGATGGTGATAGTGTCGCCGCCTCTTGATTTTTATCTCTATTTGATGTTTCTTGCTTGGCCTGATAGCGGAGTCGATCTTGAAGCTCATAAAGGTTGCATGCTACCCAACGCAGGGTCGTTTTAGAAATGGGCTGTGATGGCGCAAAACTTGGGCCCAATTCTAATAGTGAGCTCGCATTCTCAGGTATTGTTATGCCACCAATCACGGTAACCCTAGAAAGACACCCAAATGTTCCTAGAACGTCTACGTAACGCGTCTCCTAATAACGCGTACGTGATGGAGTCTTTCGACGTTACCGCACTGTACACCAACGTATCGAATGACTCCGCAATGCAAGCCATCTTCGAACTTCTTGTTGAACATGAAGGAAGAATAAATATGCATGGCTTGTCCATCAAGCAGCTAATGGCTCTCTTAAAGGAGTGCCTAAACTGCTCGATTTTCAGATGGTCTGGGAAATATTTCGCGCAAATAAGGGGGTTGGCAATGGGACAGCGATTGGCACCAAGCCTGGCCATTGTGTTTATGTCTAAGATAGAAGCCCCTGTTCTCGATCTCCGGCCACTACTCTACTGCAGATATGTAGATGATTGTTTTGTCGTCTTCTCTACGCAGGACGAGATGGACAAATGCTTTGAATTATTGAACGAGCAGTCCGAGTACATAAAGTTCACCCGGGAGAAACCGAGAGAAAACTGGCTTCCACTTTTGGACGTCCAAATAAACCTATCAAGTAGCGGTTACCTGACAAAGTGGTATCGAAAGCCAAGTAACAAGAACATTCTTGTTCATTTCCTTTCTTCCCACCCTTCACACACAAAGAGGGCGATTGTGAGAAACATGTTTCGAACAGCCACCTCTGTGTGCACTACCAGGGAACTAAAGGAAGAATCGCGCGACTTGGCCCGGCAAATAGCCACCTCCAATGGCTACGAAATAGTAACCCCACGAGATAAGTTTACAAGGAGAACGACGCGCCCACGCGAAACGCTTGGCCAAAACAAAATCCCGTTTATGTTGCCTTTTATAAGCGATGAAGTAAGCGCAGCTATAAAACGATGCTTAAGAAAGGCAGGTCTAGAGGAATCGGTAGCGATAGTTGAAATACCACCGGCTACTCTACGTCGTCAATTAGTTCCTAACCGCCTGTATGGCTGTCTATGTGAAAGAACAAATTGTGTAATTTGCCCTTACGGCAGGGACGGTGATTGCATGAGTTCAGGTATACTGATCTCGTGTAACAATTGCGGAGATGAATATATTGGCGAAGTGGGCAGACTTTTGTGTATCCGTATAAAAGAACACCTACATGGCAAACGAAAACGAAGACAAAATATCCCACTAGGCACGCATAGGATACAAAAGCATAGCGGAGACAATTTTGAAGTAAAAGTCAATACCCTTGCACAGGAGTCTAAAACACCAGCGCGAAAACTTCTTGAGGCTTTTTGGATCAATGCCAAAAGCCCTACAATGAATAGCATAGAGGAATACCCGGAGGTCATACGCGACCTGATCCCGTACGTTCGCATCGATTTTTGATGTGGCATGGTGCACTCGTCAACCACATGCGACTATAATCAGCTGTTCTAAACTTCCTCATTGGAAGTCACAAAAAAGCGGTGGGTTTTTCGAGTTGTTGATCGTGTAATTACCAAAGAGCCTTTCGTGTTTGTGTAAGTGTTATTGAAGCGTTTGGCCTAGTAGATTGTATATCAGTATACCCTTCCAGGCTCTGAAGAAGGCGATACTGCCGAAACGTCAGCTATTGTTGTATTGTATTGTGTTTTTCTATGGAAGTAAATGTATGCTGTTTAAAAACCTCGCGATTGCTGAACAAGAAAGCGACGCATTCATAGTCCAATGCCGAAGTTAATAGAAAGTCGATCCTGAGAACTATTACTCAGGTCGATATTTTAATGAGAGAGAGGCGTATTATTCATTCACGTGAGCTCTGTTCAGTTGGTCTCCATGTGGAAACTCAGTGATTGTGAAAAATACTGAGTGTGCGAATAAACTATTTTGTTTCCTTGTGAACTGATTTTGTTGAGCTAATGCGAGGTTGGTACAAGTCCTCGTTGTTGTTGTTGTTGCCGTTGTCGTTGTCGTTGGTATTGTCGGTCGATGGCTAACGTTCCGACGACTTCGCCTTCCTCAGAATCGTGCCGCTAATAGTGGGACTCCATCCACGTCCCACTCGGTCATGAAGAAGATGAAATCGACGAAGCGTCAGCTATCGACCAACAAACAACACTGACAACAACAACGACAGCAACAAAAAAAAACGACAACGAAAACTTATACCAACCTCTCTTCAGCTCAATAAGATCGGTTCATAAGAGCATATAAATAAATACATCAGCTATTTATGGCGAGCTTTGTAAATATAGGTTTTCGTTGTTGATGGTTTTCTTGGTCGATGGCTAACGTTTTTACGATTTAGCCGACGTCAAAAAACCATTTTGAAACAGGACACCAGTTCATGTGTGATAGTGATGCATTCGTCTTTCCCGTTCATCTTTGGATTTTTGAAATTGATCCAAAACTCCAAAACGGCTCAAGTGAGAAGAAAAACGAGCGTTTTGGATCAATTTCAAAAACCCAAAGATGAATGGGAAAGACGAACGCCTCACTATCACACGTGACCTGGCGGCTTATTTCGAAATGATTTTTTGACCTGGGTGGGTCTCGCTCGCGACGCCATGTGAAAACCACGCGAACCAGTCCCACTCGGTGAGTAACCTTTTTGATCAATATGGCGTTTATTTAAAAGTATAATCTTCATTAATACTACAGATATTTCACCGAATATAAGGCTAATGTTACATAAAATACCTCCAGGCTCAGCTCAAAAAGATTAGTCCATAAGATCATGTAAATAATTATATCCAAAAAAAGCAATTCTCAAAGATATTTATATGTGAAAAAGAACGGGTAATGCAGTGTTAGTGATCCTACTCGCCACACAAGCGTCCCAGCATAGCCAGGCACTGGTCCGACTCCACTCCCAGCACAAGAAGTCTCTCATAGCTCCGCGGCTGGGAATTCGGTACTCTGCGACAACCTCGTTCCATCTACTTAACGTGAGTACAACCCAACGCGGCTACGTCGAGAATTCAGGGAAAATGGACTCCAGTAGTATTCAACGACATTCGTGACAAAGGCGAAAAAACACTCGAATAGCAGCCAAATGCAAACGCAAAGAAACTTCGAAAACACTTGAAGAGTGTGGATACCAGAAAACGAAGGAAGAAATTCTGGGAACCACACAGTGTGATACATGAGATGTCGAGCCATATAATACTTGGATACCTGGATCGCCGGTATTCACTGGTTGTGCGGGCTTCAGCATAATTTCCACTTTTGCGGAACTTCGCTATTTCAGCTATTGTGGTTCTGTGGAGACCTGACGTCAACCTAGGCAAAACCTGCCCTAGGGCGTCACCACCACGGGCAACCCCGGCCTTGTGGATCAGAAGAAGATTTACCAACATGCGATTATTTCGATACCAGGACGGTAGTGGATCCTGGTATTAGCTTACTCTTAGTTGGAATTTTTGGTAAAAACGACGGACTCCTTCTCAGGTTGGGAGACCCTGGTGTGGGGATGAAACCCTCCTCTGTACATCGCAGCTCCACACCCAGGAAAACCTCCCAACCACAATGAGGTGATAGACCATTGGAAGGCACGTAATGATAGAAAACAAACAAAAATATATTTGAAAAAAGAAAACAGCCAAGTTGACGAAATACCTATTATTAAATGAGAAGAATCAATAAGGATGGGAGTGAAAAAGTTCAAACTGAAGAACTGTGCAACAAATTAATATAGTTGCCTATGGTCTACGCACTTCGCAAGAGTAAACTGAGTAACAGTCTCTTCAACCAAATGAAAAATTGATAGATGTGAGATGATAAAGAGCAAAATACTATTGTTGCTGATATAGATAAGATAAAGGCAACACATCTCAATTTAACGAAGCGCTATGTAGCGCGCCATACGAAATACATCGTTAGCTAATTTTTGTACTCAGACTAACGTACTTTTTCATTACACAGACATCGGTAACATGGTAACTCATCCACCTTTACAAATTGGGCACACATGAAGCACTTTACGGCATTTAACCCGATCTTTATTTAACCCTTTATTTCTGCTAAGCTTAAGATTTTTCTACAAATAAGATTAAATCAGTAAGCATCAAGACAGAAACGAACAACTTACTAACCGCGTGATCCCACTCAGGCAGACAGACCAAGAAAACGGCTGACGTCACTGAAAGGAAATGGACTGCTTCTGGAAAACGAATTCTCAACTAGTCACAGTGAACACGCTTGACAAACCGGTGCGCTCATGTCTTGCTGAATTCTCTCTTGTAACAAAAAGTAATCACTCTATAACCAAAACGAAAGCGCCTTCACTTGAAATCAGTGATGCTACACCACTGGTCGATCATTTAATGAATAAAGCTATTTCGAAGAAAACCTAAGCACTAAGAGTTCGCTTCCTCACAAATGAAATACGACAAGCCCTTTGGTTTCACACAAAATCGATCTCGTCTTCGACTGCTTCTATGAAAGTGCATGATTTTATGGTGGCGCCTGTTGGCCGTCTCGGATCTGCACCCCCAAATTACTTCTCCTACACTTTCCTTTCCAAAAAGTATTTCCTTCATTCTTCAGTAGTTTACAACATTCTCTGGACAATTTCAAACTGTTGAGTTAACGGTGTTTAAGATCATTAAGGTTAACTATAACTAGGGATATTAAAACAGATATATGTTAGGCTACGTAGTGCAAGTCACTACTGAAAATGTGAAAATGAAAGAGTTCGTGCACTAACACACTTCTCTGCATTTCCAAACAAACTCTCCTAAACAGTTTACTAGTTTGCTCATCATTGCAAGCAGTTGGTTGTTCACCTCTAGAAACAATATTGGGAGAGTCAGTAATCGTCAAGTATCTAAAACGATGCAACATGTTAATAAGAATTTTGGAGATCCTCACAATTTATTGAAAGTGAACTACAGTAAAAGCGGTAGTATTTGGCTAGCAAAATATCCAGAAATCCAAAAGCATATTCCATATATCAAACGAAGAATGTGTATAGATGGCTCCTGAACATCTGTGCAACACTGAACTATGCACACTCATAAACATTACGACAGATTTCTCTACAATACTTCAATAGTTGTATGAAAGAAGGTTTTAAAAAACGTAAATCAGTAAAGAAAACTCGAAGTAGCATGATGATGTCTAAATACATACAACGCTAACAACTAGAAAGGATGGAAATAGTTTGGAAGTTGAGGTTTCAAAAGTTAACTTCACAACGAAGGTTGAAGACACTACAGTTCCAAAGAGAGAGAGAGAGAGAAAGAGATAGAGAGGAAGAGAAAGAGAAAAAAGAGACGAATGACAATTAGATCTGAACGGCTCATCAAAATTTCTGTCGGCCTACCGCAATTTACTGGCACGTTGATACAACGCGTCAACTACTTCACCCATAGCATGAATCGTTTTCAAAGCAGTTTCGTAAATGGCATCTGGAGGTGATGAATCGTAAACTATTAGCATCCCATCGTCTTGATGCAGTGATCCGCTGAACTTCCGATCCAGAATCATTTGTGATAACTTCTTCTCAACCTAAAAAACACTATGAACAAAGAGTTACAATACTGCCCCAATAGGAATAAACAAAACACATATTTAGAAAACTGGACTAGTTAAGAAGTGAGCATATTACAGCCCACTCCCCTCTCCTCTCAGGTGGTACGTGTACCACAGCGGGTTGGGCTAGAGGTGCCCTGCGATAAACATTCTCGTTGGTTCGAACTGGTGTCTTGGACCAGTCAAACTTCGAATGTCTACAAGGTTGTACACTGGTACACTTGGTTTAAGGAGGAAAACTGAAACGATGCTGAGATATTTGCAAAACTTAGGACCGCAGGTGTATGCGGTGGGGAACGAACGCGCTATTGTCCTTTCTGGGGAGTAGCGCGTTCACCACCACAGCATGCGGGTCCTTCGTTTCGCCTGTCTCTCAGCTAGTTCTATCGATCTTTTGCCATCAGCAATCACCCGTCAGTGGAACTGATCTGGGGAGCCCAAATCGGCAATGAACCTAGTTAAGCTGAGGCTTTAGTTATAATCACAATGTTAACCGTTTTATTTACTGCCTAGTCTTCTTACGCATACACCTTCGGTCCGGAGTTTTGCAAATATCTCAGCATCATTGAAACCCTGCCATCAAAAACAGTAGGCAGTACATAAAACGGTTAAGAAGAAAACTGAGTTAATTCATCTTTGGCATCTACTCTGTATATTGGAGTCGAACCCATGCTGTATCTTTAAGGAATTTTAATGGAACACTTTGTCATTTATCTTACGGTTTTCACATTTGCGCTAACCTTTTCGCGATCAATACCTATGCTTGTAGCAATGTGGTCGATTTGCACACATGAATATGGCTCAATTATACGGCACAAATCTTTTTCGAGCATTCGTTCACTAAGGGAATTAAAGTGTTTGCGGACAACAGGATCCATCTGAAATATGAAATCTAACAGTATCGATTACAGTCACGAAAGAACAGTGAATACTGAATTGACATACTTGAAGCTCTTGTGGATAAGCACCAAATGCCGTATTGAAGTCCGCAAGGCTTCTCTTTTTAGCAGCTGCAGCAATAGCTCTCATGGCTTGCAAATCAGATCCAGAATATTTCAACGCGAGTTTACCCGTTAGCAGCGTATTCACGTCGTCTGGGACGTCCAACATTACCTAAAATGTGTAAGGAAGAATTCTACATTACCTCAAATGTGTAAAAAAAAAAGTACAAAATTTAAACGAAAATTTAAAGCATGTAAACATTATAGACTCTTCCTGTCAATTAAAAGAAAGACAAACCTTGCAAAGAAGCATATACTTCAGTGAAAGTAGTGCAAGACTCTTCTCATCGACCGAATCGTAACCTTCGAACGCTTCATAAAAGTATGAAAACGCAGTTTTAAAGTCCTTCTCATCCGCTGCGTGAAGGATGCCTGACTGCAGATCGAGCGCAGCCTGAGGAAAAAGAAAGATACATGACGATGGATAAGTTTGCAAATTAACCAAGTTGTAGAAAGCAAAGAACGCTAAAACAGCAAGTCAGTATTCATATCTCTGAAATATATGCCAGCTAAATAAAAGATTTCATCACTAAGGAAGAAGATGTTTAGAAACTTATTTAAACCAACGAAACATAATAATGCTATAACATTCTTCAACAAGCACCCCGTACCACCCAAAATATGCTAGCAATGCGAAAACTACGAAATTCCTTCATAAGGATTTCAACACTTTCACGTTTATAAGACCACATAAATAAATAAATCAACTTCCGTGACATTGCCCATTGAACTGTTGCAATCAAGGCTTCTTCATCCAGTGGTTTACTTTCCAATTACACATTCTGTGTTCAATCCATAAAAGGATAAAGGATAAAGACCTCGGCGTTGATCAATCACTGAAGGATGCGCCATGCATTCGACTTCATTAAGCACCGATGAAGGCGATAGAATGCATATCTGGCCTTTACAGTGACTCGCACTGGCCTACCGATGTATCGAGCCAGTGCTGCTATCCTGCCAGACAAGTCTGGCACCATTTTGCCGACCCCGGAGGGATGGAAGGCTTGGCGTGCCACGCGCGAGAGTACTGACCGCAGTTCAAACCATAGCTTCCATAAAACATATGTTATACCTTGTTTATGCAAAAAAGATGTCTTTCCTGTTTTCGTTAACTGTAACTGTTGAACCTTCGAGATTTCGATGGCCTTATGGATAGGACGTCTCTTCAAAACCTGGACAAGTTTCCCTACCTATCAAGCTTGCTCCAAATTTGTTAATACACATTTTTAAAAATCACAACTTCCAAATTATGTGGATCTCCCTTTTCTACAGCTGAAAACCTTTGGTATACGATTTGTTCTGTAGTTTACGTACACATGGATCTTCATCCGCTAACTCACTCAGAAATCACTGTTTAGTGAGCATATGGACCTACTGCTAGAATTCTAAAACAACGATTAATGGGCTCAATATCCAAGTGTCAATGTATGTTTCAAAAACAGATACTCCAAAAACAGGAAAAGTTGGGTCGGTGACTACAGGTATGAGCGGGAATTCAAGAATCACAGGCTCTAAGCAAGTCAACACTAAATGCAGTCAATCCAAATCTTATAACATATCTTCTTACAGCTCAGGAGACAAAGGATTACAGCTGGATTTAATTCGACTAACAAATTCCTTTGAAATTTTTCCACACATTATTTACTAGTTTCTGTTGCCTTGCATCTCATAGATATGTGCTGGATAGGATATTGAAGGTATACAAAAAGTATAGCGGGAATTCTCAAGCAGTAAAACAGATGACTGTAGAGGAAGTCAAACTTACAATAATTCACGTCGCTCTAATGTTTCAAATCTACGTCTGGTTTCAACGGCAAACACCCTTCATTAGAGTTTGTGTTGAAAAGGATAGACACTCGCCTGCATTCTCGGTTGCACATAAATGGCATTTGCAGTGGTCCGTGCTCCAGTCAACGAGGCTCGAGCTCTGCCGATGTTCCCAAGATGATAAAACGCCTTGCTCTCTTCCAATTCCACTTCCACCAGCACATCTTTATCATCCAGCTTCTTCAGTTCACGAATAAGATCAGCAGCTGAAAATAAGTTTTACCTACAGTTACATTGTTTACAGATTTGTTTTACTGCCTTTCGAATAGTATTATATTACATTAGCTCTAAATGCAAATCTGAAAATAACAGCAACGAACTGACAGCCTAATGAGGTAAAGGCAAGATACAGAAAATGAATCCAAATAAGTGTCAAAACTAGCACCAACAAAGCGGCCAAAATAAAACAAATGGCATTTACCAAGTGGAAGAGCCTGTGTATATCGATGAAGATCGTTGAACAACCGAACCAAACGTGCTTCAAGTGTCTGACGAAGAAATGTTCGATTCTGATCAATGGCCCACTGGATGCATTCACGTACCAATTCGATCTAAAACGGTCCCAACGCTAACTGTCACAAGTATGTGAAACACAAACAGCTACTCTTCGTGTGCTTAGAAAACCTTAGCTATTAGCAAGCTGTTGTTATTTAAGTTAAGGACAACCTTAATGTCCCCGTCTTGGTCATCAATCATGAGACAAAGATCCACCAGATTCCGAACTAATTTCGCAGCTTTTGCTTTCCCCAGTGAAACCAAGAACGGACGAGTTTGCTCAATCATCTGAAAGACAGTTGAAGCCATACTTATCACGAACTACCTCCTCATGAACGGAAGATTATTAAGCGGATGAAAATTTCTAAAGTAATAAACAATAAACATGAAAAGAAAAAACGTAGAGAAACTAGTAAACGAACTTTTCTAAGTTCTTCAGTTTGTTTATTCTTCGCAAGCATACTGCCCAGTTCTAATATGGACTCTTCTTTCTTCTTGATATCGGCATCACCCGACACCGGAGTTTTCACTTGGAAAATTGTCGGTAGTACGTAAATTCACAAAACATCTCAGAAAAAAAGAACAGAAAAAAAGGCGAATTCTTCATCTTTTTTCGAAACCAAACAAACACCAGAAGTCAGACAAAATACAAATGTACGGGATAATATAATAGTGAACATATCCTATCGATTCTGATTGAAACGAACGTGAGGTCAATTTTAAGACCACAAAACTATTGCCATATGTTGTTTAGTTCATTTTATTTAGTATAAAAGTCAGCAGTCTACATAATACATTAAATTTAACAACGTATTTACACTTGCTACGTAGATACATTCCTCCCAACGGTCCACCGCCTCGTCGTGGCTGGGAGGTGGTCCTGGGTGTCGGGCCGCGATGTTAACGGGGCCGATTCATCACTCCGGCAAGGTCTCCAAAGCTGAGTCCGGCGTTTCCAACAGGAAGCCCAGCTAAGATTAACCAATACCAGGATCCACCACTGTACTCATATCAAACTAGTCGGATAGTGGAAAATTTCCCTCTGATCCACAAGAGTGGCGACTCCCTGTGGTATTGACGACGTGGGGCACACTTTGGTCAGGCTGATCTCGGGACTCCAGTGAAGCATAATGGCTAAACCAGCAAAACTTCGAAAAGTGGAAATTGTGCTAGGGCCAGCATAACCAGTGAAGATGGGCCATCCAAGTATATACAGACTTTCACATATAATGTGTAATATATTTACGAATGGGAAACGACTACAGATCGACCGTACCTTCGTTTACCGACAGAAACATGTGAACTGATATAAAACCAACAAAAGTAGACTAACCGAAGTTCGTCAAGTGACGGATGACATTCTGGTCGTTCTGATGAGGAAGAGACGTCATGTGGTCCATAACTGTCCCTCCTGACATTCTAGCACTTTGACAATTCGTCAACGAACAACACGATAAACTTACGGACGTTAAAATATATGGAACCTGTAAAATAGTCGATTTCCAACAATCACGCCCATCCACAAGAGAAATGTGACGTCATTAAGGTCCCAAACTGTCAGACGGAACTTTAAGAAAAGAAAATCAATGTTCCTTAGTGCAATTAATAGTTGCCATCAAAAGGAGCGCAACACAGCGGATCTCATCCATACATCAGAAACAGACGCTACTTAGTAAGACTAAGCTAGTTAATGACTAAGGAACATTATCAACAGAGCGAATACTCAAAAAGGTCGTGCGAATATCAGAACCCTAGATTCCTTAAGGACCAGGAAAACGATACCGCACTCTTTTAAGGCCCGATCGCTACTTGCTACTGAAGTAAAGTAGTAACTTAAAGCAGCAACCATCGAAAACACGCTTATTGATAGAGAATTCTGATCCTGCGAGAAAACAACTGCTCGTTTGAATGATACCAGATGACACCAACCCGATGAATAAACGCTAGATCTGCAAGACATCCAAGTACGGTACTTCATTGCTCATTTCCGAGTTTTTAATCGTTCTTGATTTCTCATAACAATCTCTTATGAAGCATGATTGTTATAATGTCATTATGTCTATGGGTCATATACGTGCGTATATATATATGTATATATATATATATATATATATATGCCACGACCGACTTTCTATTAACCTCGGCATTGATCAAGTGATTTTCTTCGTATTTTTGTTGAGCAAACGCGAGGTGTTACTATTCTTTGTTCACGATTAAGCTGACGTTTCGGCGGATTTCGCCTTCTTCAGAGCCTGGAAAGGTCAAGTTGATAGCAACTCACTCGGCCAGACGCCTCCATAACCAAACAAAGAGACTCCAAACCAAGATTTCAATCACTTTGAACACAGCTTTGCACACTCACCGCTTTCTATGAGGTTTCCACTAAGTATGTCACGTAGAGACCAACCGCACAGAAATCACGTGGAAATATAATGTGCCCCTCACATCAGAAAAGCAGTTTTATATACTGCCCTATATCACGCGTGATAATGAGGCATTCTTCCCTGCGGTTCATTTTCGGATTTCTGGAATTAATCCAGGGTGCTTCGAGAGTTTTTCGCGCCTGTGTTCTTGATTCGCGTGCGAGGATCGTGACACATACTTCGAAGTCGTCCCCGTTATGTCTCTGGGTCCTATGCGTGCCTAGCGGGGTATTTGGTCTATTTTTGCCGGCTAGGTGTTCTTTCATGCGGACACAGAGGGGTCTACCCGTTTCGCCAATGTATTCGTCACCACACGTCTTACAGGAGATCAGATAAACTATATCCGAGCTCATGCAATCACCGTCTCTACCACTGGGGCAAATTATGCAATTTTGAGTTGCACATAGACGGTCATATAGGCGGTTACGAACTAGCTGGCGCTTAAGATTACTCGGTGGTATTTCAACTACGCTCACCGAATTCTCTAAGCCCGCCCTTCTTAAGCAGCGTTTTATAGCTGTACTTATATCATTTGAGATGAAGGGTAGGATAAACGGGACCCTTCTATCGCTAGAGTTGTCGTNGGGTATTTGGTCTATTTTTGCCGGCTAGGTGTTCTTTCATGCGGACACAGAGGGGTCTACCCGTTTCGCCAATGTATTCGTCACCACACGTCTTACAGGAGATCAGATAAACTATACCCGAGCTCATGCAATCACCGTCTCTACCACTGGGGCAAATTATGCAATTTTGAGTTGCACATAGACGGTCATATAGGCGGTTACGAACTAGCTGGCGCTTAAGATTACTCGGTGGTATTTCAACTACGCTCACCGAATTCTCTAAGCCCGCCCTTCTTAAGCAGCGTTTTATAGCTGTACTTATATCATTTGAGATGAAGGGTAGGATAAACGGGACCCTTCTATCGCTAGAGTTGTCGTTTGGAGGCCTACGATTTCCTTTACACCTATTCTGAGCTACAGTTTCGTAGCCATTAGAAACGGCTATTTGCCGTGCCAAGTTCCGGGACTCCTCTCTCTGCTCTCTTCCCGTGCACACGTTGGTTGCTGTTCGAAACATGTTTCTTATAAGCGCCCTTTTCGTGTGAGAGGGGTGAGAGGAGAGGTAATGAACCAAGATATTTTTACTACTTGGCTTTCGGTACCACTTTGTAATATAGCCATTTTCTGATAGGTGAATTTGTACGTTCAAAAATGGAAGCCATTTTTCTTTATATATATATATATATATATATATGTATATATATATATATGAGCACGTGTAGCCCAGTGATTAGAGGCGCCATGCAGTGCACATGGAATCAATCCCAAGGCTCGCCGCATCCTCACTCCGCGGTCGGCAGATTGGTACCAAGCTTGTCTGGGAAGATAGCAGCAGTGATTTGATACATTGGCAAGCCACAGCGAGTCATTGTATAGGCCAAATATACATTCAGTCACTTCTACGCTTCTGCGAATGGTGTCGAATGCGTGGTATATCCCAAAGGGATTGATCAACGCTGAGCTTTATCGTTCATCTACATACATATGTATGTTTTGTGGATATATGTATATATATATGTATATGTGTAGAGGCATTTCTTCTACTCGGGCCATTGGGTCTCATATCTCTCATCCACGATGGAGTTGAATTTTGCGTATGGATTCGACTGCAACTTGAAGATTTTGAAGATGTCTCAATGAACGCGTCCAATAATCGTTGAACATAACTTCCCCTCGAATCCTAGAGTGGTCATGGTTGAATATCACTCGGTCTTCACAAGAGATAGTCTCCTACTTTAGTTGATTAAGCGAGCTTCTAAAAGACAAGCCTCTCACCAGTTAACTTCTCTGGCATGGGTTACCCCGGGCTTACCATTCCTCTCAACACTCGAGGTCGGAGAATTGGTATCAGTCTTGCCTAGGTCTGTCTGATTCTCTGCAGTGCAAGGAATGTTCTAGCCCCACAATCCCAGGATTTCAGCAAAAATTGGCTCGACTAGCATTCTACGGAATCGATGAGGAAGATGGCAATCCTCATACTGCAGCCGGACCCACACATAAAGAAGGTTTGGAGACCATCGTGGATGACCGATGCCAAGACGAATCGAGTGCAAGAAGTGCTGGGATCTGCATAGCAGATGTAAACACTGATATAAGGTTGTAAAGCTTTATAAAGCATTCCGTCGGTCAATCCCTTAGGAATGCTCCATTCATTCGACTTCATTAAGCATCGTTAGAGGTGTGATTGAATGTGTATTTGGCTTTTGCAATGACTCGCAGTGGCCTACCGAGTGCCGCTATCCTCCCAGAGAAGCGTGGTACTAATTTGCCGATCTCTGAGGGATGAAATGCTTGCCGAGGCTGAGGCGTGGGGCCAACCTGACGTGTATTGCATGGCGCCTGCGACCACTGCGCTTTCACGCTGATATATTTGAGATAATTCTGTGCTGTATTCTTTCTTGTAAGCGTTTTTTTATCGTCCTCCAATACTTTTGTAAATTCCGTATTCGTTTTTGTCATGAAGCTTGTTCGATTAACATGTGGCCAAACTCATTAGCCTCGCTTTCAAGGATTAACATCATCTTCAGCTGTTGGGTCCACTTTGTGGCACAGCTTTACTGTTTTCTTCAACATTTGGCACTTTCTGTAGTATACAGAGCTCTCAATAGTCGAGATGTCTGGGAAGGGAGAGTGCAGCGCATGGGGTGGCAAGACAGCATGGGCACGAAAGGAAGAGGCGTGTTTTAGTTAGTTCTTTTTTTGTTCGTATTTTAACCCTGTTTTGATTTCAGGATTGTGAACCAATTGTATCCTTTGTCGAGATAATGAACGAAGATCTGGCTGATTCGCTTAACAAAGAGGAGCACCGTAAGCAGCAAGAATACCTCTGTGCTATGGTACGGAATGGTGCTGAAATGGTGAGTGTCACTGTCAAGAGATTTGAGATAATTGTTGGTTTTTTCCATTTCGTCATTAGATTTTATTTATACATTTAGTAAGGAAGAATTCATATGTAACTCGATATCTTGGTAATAGTGGTCGATGAGGGGATGCAGGTTTTCTTCGTGTTGTATAAGTTACAGTCACACTTATGTGTAGAATTTTTCGTAAAACTTTAACTCCGTTAGCCAATGGTTGCCTGGAGTGGGTACCAATAGTTTTTATTTTCGCTGTTGTACAAGAAAGGTGTCACTGTACTACGCTGTGCCGACACAGCAACGACAATTACTTTTATCCTATGCTCTATTTTCATTTTACTTTTTTTTATCAATAACCTTATCACTACAACTAGTCCTTAGGGCTTTATTTCCTCTTAATTGTCACCAGCTGGGCTTCCTTGTGGAAACGCTGGACTACTTAGCTTGGGAGATCCTGCTGGGGGGATGAATCTCCTCGTTGTACATCGCAGCCCGACACCCAGGGAGACCTCCCAGCCATGATGAGGCCACGACAAACCATTGAGAGGGTTCACAGTTCACATGTTTGTGGTTCCGATTACTCCTTCACTCTTAGTTCTCTACAGATTTTGCATTTATGGTGAAATGTTGTGTTGTTTTACTGTTTTTTTTACAACTGATCTTATCTAATTTGCAGTTTTTAGGCTTATGATAATGACGAGGAGATGGCAAGGGCATTGCAGCGAGAATTCGATCGTGAGTACGAGCTTTCTGTAATGATGAACAGAGAGAAAGTGAAAGACGGAACGAACGGTACTTGCACCGCATTGCTTTTTTCCTATGTGAATATTTGTTTTTGTTTTAGATATCCGGTAGTAAATCTCAACTATAGCAAACACCAACTTTAAACTTACAACATTTAGTTTTTATTTACTGCCTGTTATTATTTTTAACGGCAGGGTATGATGTGAAGTACAACCACTATGATGCTGAGGTATTTGCCAAACTTGGATTCCAGTCCAAATTCGAACCCACCATTACGATTTCCGGGACTTACGTGTTACCCACTGCATCACCGAGGATCTTGTTTTGCCTTTCACTCAGCGAGTTTTTTTTACCTAGCGGTGCCATCGACATTAAACCCCGTTAAGCTGAGGCTGTAGTCGAGTAGGCAATATGTATAAATTAAACGTGGTTTCTACCACAGCGTCACCTTAACTTGGTTCAATGCGGATTTATGCTCCTCGGATCGTTCCCGTTGATGGTTGATCGCTGATGGCACCACTAAATAGAAAACAGGTTCAGAGAAAGGCAAAGTTGAGGCCAAACTGGGCAACACGTAAGCCACCGGAAAGCATGATCGCTGGTCCTAATCTGCCGTGGGGTCCGTGTTCTGCAAATATCTCAGCATCACAGTGGCTTTGAAATTATTTGAATGCGTGTCAATTGTAATTTAATATTCTTTCATGTTCCATTCATATTACATGTTCTCGTCTATGTGTAATCCTTTTCTGTTCTTCTTTTCATTGTAAGGTAATATTTAAATTTTTTAGCCACAATAATAGTAACACCTGACCGTTATTGTCCAAAGACCACCCAGGATTCCAACCAATCAAGCGACGATGATGACCTGAGAGAATCCGCGATGGATTTACTTTATTCCGAGGTCCATTCATATTATGTAAGACATAGATCGTCATGAGTCGATCGCTTTGTCTGGGACTCAAGCGATATCTTCTTCATGCAATCAAAGTTCGCAAGGACATGAAACGAATCCGTTTTGTATTGGGTGTGATTCTGCCTTGCAGTTATTTCTTTAAGCACTATTTTGTCATGTTCTCTTCGCGATTCTCATAAATTTCCTACGTTATAGGACAACGTGCCGGTGCACACTGGTGCTATATTTCGTACCGCTGGAGGGAGTGTCTTAACGAAACATGATGCGGACATCTCGGCTAAACGCAATGCTGATAAAACTATGAATGTGAGTTCGTTCTATATTTGTTTGTGGATTCTTCGATTAAAAAAGAGATTACTTAATAGGTTATATTGGGGCAACTAATATGTAGGGTAGTACAATTAGTACCACCAACTTCTGGTATTCCGACCTTCTAGTGGAGAATTCCAGGACAAAGTTCCTCTAGCCTTTGGAGATATGCTTAACAAACAGATCAACAGTCGCGTATTTAATTCACTGCGTAAGTTTTCAAAGACAGAAGCGAGGAGGCGGCACAAACTTAAAGATAAGGTCGGTTAGTAGTGCTTAGGGACTTCAACATTGTTGTTTACTATTGATTTAATTGATTTATAAATGTCTTGCTATTTACGTTATTCCTTAAAGGAAGAGAAGGCGACCATTGAGATATCTATGGACGCAATTGCCCGACTGCACTTGTTCAAGTGGATTAATCAAGGTGTTTTTGACCGAGTTGAAGGGATCATCGCGACTGGAAAGGTGTGGAGATAGCTTCTTGAAAGTCACCTAGATGAATATGGAATGGTTTTTTAAAAGAGTGACCAAATGTTAATGAAATGAAGGATAATTTACAAAGGTTTATTGGAGTCCGCTAGAAGCAATGTGCAATTTCTGTTTGAGAACATTGTCTTGTACCCACCATAAGTGAAAATTTTTGGCAAATTTTGAAAAAATATTTCCTTCATAAGGGCTACTGCAGTTTTTGTTAAAAAAAATGGTGTTGTTTTTAACAATGGTTAACTTTTATTCACAACTTATTGTTTTCTCACTGCAGGGTATTATGTGAACCACAACCACAGTTATGCTGAGATAACTACAATGGTGCTGAGATATTTGCAAAACTCTAGACCGCAGGTGTCTACGGTGTGGAACGAGTGCGCTGTTATCCTTTCCGAGGCTAACACATCCATCACCACACCATGCGTGTCCATCGTTTCGCCTTTCTCTCAGCTAGTTTTCTGTCTACCCCACTCGGAAATGGTAATAGCGCGTTCGTGCCCCACCGCAGACACCAGCAGTCCGGAGTTTTGCAAATATCTCAACACCATTGTGGCTGTATCGTACATAATATTGTGCCGTAAAAAACTGTAATAGGCAATTAATAGAAAGTTAACATTATGCTGAGATATTTGCAAAACTTGTACCACAGGCTGTATCGAACCGCGAATTACCCTTTTCGGGTGCTCATGTGTTATGCACGGTACCACTGAGACCGTCGTTCTGCCTTTCAACCAGTCTTTTCATCACAATAATAGATGTTATCTTTGTTGTAAATCGACTGCCTTTTCAGGAAAGTGCGGTTTTGAACGGTATCAGTGATGAAACTGGCAATAAATTCGCCATAAAGGTTTATAAGATGAGCTTGACTGAGTTTAAAAACAGGTACATTTCCAATAGAATTTTGAACAGTTAAGTCGTTGAGGTTCATGCCATTAAGATCAGAATACGTGAAAGATGACTTCCGGTTTAAGAATCCTCGTCAAGTGATGAAGATTTGGGCTGAGCGGGAGTTTATGAACCTTTCAAGGTGAGGTATTATCTTTAGATTGCAAAAGACGAGGTATTTAAGTTATTTATCAATATTCTATTCTGCAAATTGTTCTGTTGGAAAACAAGCTGACATCAAAACTACAAGATTTGTCCGGTTTTCTCTTTAAGGATGACAAAATGTGGAGTGGCATGCCCAACGCCTATCAAGCTGAAGCGTCATTTATTGCTGATGTCATTGATCGAGGAAGCTGGAGAGGCCGCACCTCGTTTGAAAAATGTCGACTGGGATTTTCTGACGATCGAGGATAGAAAGGGCGTATTTCTGCAAGTGCAGGACGTCAGTTTGCTTTGACAGGTTTATTTAAGTTGAACCTTTTTAGCTTACTATACTTTATTGTCTGTTTTGACTCAGTTTTAATCTTTTAGTCTTTTATATCTATTCGAATTGTTCTTTCCAAGGCGAAGATAAGGTGTAATCCTTGTTAACTGAAAGGTCATCTGCACCATTCTGTTAATCGTAGTGTGACTCGAGATGGCGCCGGTGAATTTGCCATTTCTCTCTGTTGTGTGTAAGAGTAGTCCAATGGTTCTGCTCGTCGTAGCGATTCGTTGACAACCATATCTTCCTTCTACGATTTTCGTGAGCAATTCTGATCAACAAGTCGGTGGCCTTCTTGGTGTGTGTTTGATATCCCAAGAAACTCAGTCGCTGAAGACTCCTGTCCATCGGCTGTCGTTAATACGCATTACGTCTTCGACAGTTTGGCGTATATAACAGCATATTTGATTTTTGATCGTTGACGTAGCTCGGAGTTTCGGATTTTCTCTCTCACTTGCGTGGTACTCGATGCTTCTATCATCATTTCCACTTCGCTTTCTATAACTCTGTGTGATCGCTCATCCTGTCTACGTAGCGCCTAGGTTTGTGCCCATAAGACAGCAAGAATCGTGGAGTCAAATACGTGGGCATGGAGTCAGGTGTTCTTTGTCCTGTTCATTAATTCTTGTTGCTTTTGAAAGCTTCACAAGGCGATCGCTGCTTCATGCTGAACTCTGGTACTAAGTCGTTTGTCATGTCGATTTGCCGACCTAGGTAGACGTAGCTGAAGCATTGGCAGGAATGCATTCCGTTGAGCGCGATTGGGCATATTAAACCAATCTGTTTTTTAGGAGCATCGTTTATGTGGGGTTTAGTTGAACATCAATCTTTTCACAAGCGTTTTCAAAGTCGGCTAGCAGTAGAACTCCAAATTCAAATACAACGCTTCGACTTCATCTTCGTCGGAGTTTGATTTCGGTGTATAGACGACGAAGATTTTCAGAGCCCGTATTGATCCTCATTTCAACTGCCGTAAACGTCCGATTTTGATTTTTAGTGGTGGGAATGAATCGATGTTCATAGCCAAACTCATGGTGACAAAAGCACCGACGCCACCGGCTCATGTATTGTCGCAACCTCCGACGAATAGTTCTCCAGTGTCATAGACGTCGTTGAATAAGTGGCTTCTCGTTTCAGCCAATGCCATGACGTCATACCTTATCCTTCTTGTCTGCATGATCAAGTCTTCTATCGTGGACGCAGATGCAAGTGTGGGTGCAATGAAGGTAGAGGTCGTCATTCTAATCTTTCGAGATTTAGGTAACCTTGAACGACTCTGAAATTTTAGCAGCCTCTTCGTACTCGTCCTACCCAGCGCTACCGAATCGGGTTCTTTTTCGGGATCAGGGGGATGAAGCCCATTTATTTTGCTGTCTGTAGCTTTTTGATGCTCACATATAGCTTACTGAGCTCTAAGCGGGCGTCGCCTCCCATATACTTCCCTGTCACTTGGTTGTAGGTTTTTGGTCGAATAGCTTCGTAGAATACAATCCGCATAAACGGGAACACACGCACGGACACAAATCCTCGTAAGTACAGATGTGTGCCAAATCGGCGCAGCAGAAACACAAAGTCCATCTGGATCCACCTGAGTCTCACGGAAGCAAAGGTCGCATTTGGTCTGCGATTGACACCATATCCGTTACTTGGGGTAACGGTACTTTAGCTCACGATTAACTGGCCTGGGATCCCTCTGTGACGTAGATCCAAGAGATAATTCCGAATTTTAGATTTAAGAGGACTGTTTTTCTTTAACATGAAATTTCTTGGTTCAGGCTTTTTGATACCTTTCCTTTAATTTTTATCTGTGTGAGAGGCTGGCCACGAAGGTCCCTCATTTTAGGGATCTGGAGCCGGTTAGTTGTGAGGCTATGTAGCGCGTCCCGAGGTGGCAGAAAGGGGTTAATCGCGGCTCAAAAGCGTCCATATGATTCCCTGAGACGCAAGTGGATCCAGGGGATGGACTCCCTCTTTCTTCTGAGCCGACTTGGCACGTACTTTCTGCATTTGAGAGGTGTATTCGCGCATGCGCGTGTGGATGCGTTCTAGTTTACGCGGATTGTATTCTATGAGTCAATTCAGCCAAAAGCCAGTAATCAAGTGACAGGGAAGTATATGGGAGGCGGTTAGGAGTCGCCTCAAACAAATAAACTCCGTGTCTGCTCTGAGAAAGACTGTCAAGCTACCGATACGTATACCCAGCCCCCATGTTCCCTGTGAGAGCACAGCAAGCTATACATGGGTATCAAATTGTTAAACGCAGTAAAAGAAACGGACCTCATTCTTCTGACCCCGAAGGAGCCCCCAATTTCGCAGCGGTGGGTAGGACGAGTACGGAGAGCCTGCTAAAATCTCAGGGCCAATGGAAGCTGCCTGGATTTCAAAGAACTATGGTGACGATCTGTACCTACAATGCACGTACACTTGCATCATAGAATGTCAGGAGAGCAGTGATTATCATGCTGTGCACCGTCGTCCGCGGAAGAGTCTTAAGAATTTTTAATTACGTA